GGAATTAACTAAACATCCAGAGATGTGAATCACTGTGAGGGATACAAGTCTTGCAGAAAGCAGAGCTTTTCTACTGGGCTCCAGTTCTATCCTGTAAGTTATCAGAAGGAAAATCAGAAACTGGTGTTTTCTGTTCTGGCTGCAAAATCCAGAGATATTCAAGGTCTAATTCTTCCACTTCCAGTCCTTGCAGGCAATAAAGTCTGATCAGGTAGCACAATGCTGTTGAGTGAACCCGGATGGGATCAAAACTGGAATTTATGGTCAGATGTGACATCAAAGCACTAATAACCCTTTAGAAAGTCTTACTTCAAGACCTCCTTCCTCTTTTCCAAGTCCAGATTGTCACAGACCTCCTGGCCCTGGGAGAGAAGGTAGAAGTTCAGTCTCATTCCCAAGAACTCTGGTAGGGGAATGCCCAGGATATAGAAAGCAGCTATATAAAGCATAACAGCATAAGATTTATATGAGAAGTACAAGGCTGAAATGCATATTGCTTTTGGCCGAAACATAACAATTTAAAAAATATTTTTTTATTTTTAATGAGACCTGCAGTGGAGACTGGGACAGACTAAAGAATCTGTCTCTATGCTCTCATCTTTGGAAGAGGGAAAAAGTTATATTAGAGCTGCTAGTGTAAAGTTTGCATTTGAAGGGGGAGAATCTACATTTCCTATGCTACTGAAAATCTCCCCTGGAAAGAAAAAAAACAACACCAAAAAAAAAAAAAAACCCAGCAGAGAAGGGAAACCACAACTTTAGAGTCCTAGGAAATGAGGAAATTGCTGTCACTCAAGCATTATTAAAACCACCCATTTTAATCTTCTGAATTCTAGTCATCGTTCAGCATTTCACTTGCAGCTAAGAAGAGATCAGAGATATAACACTCATATATTACTTCCCACCAGGCATTATGTATAAGTAAAAGCATCAGCTTCTCTTTGCTCTTCTGAGTGCATTGCAGTCAGTGGGAGTTTTGCTTTAAGCACAGCCTGCCTGCAAAAGGGCATCTTCCACTGAAGAACTTTTCCTTTCTTGCATTTTTCTTTTAAATGTAGCGGAAACTTCCCACTTTGTGGTAGATAACATTACACAAAGAACCTAAAGAAGCAGTTACCACTGAGAAACTGAAAATGTTACCTATTATTTGATCAATATTTCCTATGGCTGGCATCAAACTGGACTGCCAGGGATTGAGGGATTTTTAAGAGACATGTCGAGACCCTGAAATGCTTCTCATTCTCTTAAACGGAGAGATAAAAAAGGGCCTCTGTCCAGGTACTTCGTTCTTTATGGGATTGGTTGTCACGGTCACACTGGAGGGAAAAATGGGAACAATAGCTACTTTTTCTAATTGCTTTTATCTAAAATGTCTACCTAAACGGTCAGGGAGTACGAGGGACCCTCTTGTGAGGAATGCTGACCAGCTGGTGGGGATATTTGAAATGGGAGCCTGCCACTGGCAAAGCACAGGAAAGGAAGGTCTGGTGTGGTCGAGGCAAAGCTGCTGGCTTCCCTCCCGGCCGCAAGCGAAAGGCAGGGTGACCTCCACCCGTGTCCGTGGCTTCCAGTCTCTGTCCAGGACAGGTAACCGCAGAGAGGTCGGGTACTTCGACAAAGGGATGCAGAGGCTCTGGAAAGACACTGCTGCCACCTGCTGTGTTATTTTGCTTTTAAATATATAAACCCAAGCCCGGAGTAATGCCACTGCCTCATTAAAGCTCACGTTTTCCCATTGGATTTGCCTACTAGGGTTAGAAAAAGATGAATTGCTCTGCAAGTTTTAACCTTATTTTGTGGTGGTGATCCCGCGTGTTGTACTAACCACCCAGAAGTATTTCACAAGACATGGTGAAGATCACAGCACCTGCCCAGCCCCGGAGAGCGCAGCAAGTCGCTTCCTACCCACTTCCTAACCCACTGGTGGTTGGCAGTGTCATCTGGCACCCACAGCCTTCATCTCCACCTCCGGAGTCTGCCTGTGGTCTACAGCACATGAAGAGAAGGTAAGGAAGGAGACCCGCATTAGGGATCCTATGCCCCATGGTCTCGATCCCAAATAAAATTAGCTTCATCATCTTTTGATTGTTTTTATATCAAAAGCTATTTAGTATTTCCGCAGATTAATTTTTCAGAATTACAGTTCCTTGAAAAAACTTTTTAATCCTCCTTAGAAGGCAGTTCATTTGAAAGTGTTCCAGTTATGTGTGCAAAGTTGAAATCTCACTTTCAAACCAACTCCCTGTAAAATTGCTTCTAATCTGAAAAGTGATTGAAAAAGTGGCACTTTTTTTGCTCAGGTGACTACCTTCCCATGTTTTCTTGAGATCAGAGAGTTATCAAAGTACTTGAGGCTCCTCTGCCTACTATATTTAAACACTGTGGCATAAGCAAAGAAAAACAAAGCTGACGATAGCTATTCAGCATTCAGATTATTAACACTCTTGTCTAGGTGACTCAACTGCATCTCTGAAAAAGTGAAAACACGATGGAGTTAAAGAACATTTTGCAGGGACTTGCGCTGTGAAATGTTCTCAGGTGGTTTGATCTTTGATTCAGATCACAGGTATGCACCTTTTACTGTTGTCCATTTGTAAAGAACAGAATACTTGCACAGAGTGTGAAGAACAGAGCAAACGTAAAGAATGGAGTACGTGCAGAGAATGGAGTACTTGGAGTACTTGCACACTTCATGGTAACTGCTAAACAGAAATTGATGTAAAATTTAATTGTAATTGATGTAAGATTAATTGTTGCCTGGAGTAGAAGGCAATGACTGTCAGACTACGCAGAGTTTGAGGACCGTCTCAGAGCTTGGCACTCTGAGGACTGCCAACTGTTAGCACTGTAATTATGTCATTCTTGTAATTCAGGCGTGTAACAAAGGGTGATTACAATGTAAAGGAATAAATGTTCTGCCAGTAACATTAACACTGCCTGAATAAATTATTGGTGACATGAAGCACTTCTTAAGAAAATGGAACATACACAAGCCCTATGTCTTGGCATTGATCTGGATGACAGGAACGTGTAAGTACAATTGGTTAGGTCACTTTATCCAAAGCACATGAGAGGTTTGATTTCGCTGCAGTGCTGTAACATCCCTAGGATGCATGCACAAGGCACCTGGAACCCCCTGCTTCAAACCTCCCAAGGAATAAGCACAGCAGCTGTGTCCCACCACAGGCTCACATGGAAGATAGACACCTATGATAGCTCCCCTCTCTTGCAAAAACACATGTTTAAGGAACAGCAGCAGATGCGGAGAAGCTTTCTTAACTGTGAAGTAGCCTGCAACTGCTAGCAAACCCTAGGTCTTCCATCCAAATTCCCAGGTTTCAAGAATGAGGCCAAGTTCAGCACGTTACAACAGTTCACATGCATTTACTGTTAGATGTATAAAACACCAAAGTGAGACCTACACAACATGTAGGATGAACAAGCAAAAAGAACAGAAGAATGATTTCGATGTGGAAAAATACTGAAACAGCTACTTAATTACTTAATTTGTAACCACCTCATCAGAAGCAAGGTGATAAGGAGCAACCATTGTGAGTCTGCCAAAGTCAAATTGAATCAAACTAATTTAACTGCTTTCTTTGGCAGCATCCCAGAGCTATGGAGCAGTTTGCAAACTGGTAGCAGGAAACGTAGCTTTATGTACTGGTGGGGGATGTGATCCCAGAAAGCTGCTGGGAACACAGCAGTGACTACAAGTAGATAGTGGCAGCTGAGACAACAGTAGAGATTTGAAGCACCACTGAGAGGGATTCAACCAGGCAACACGGAGAGCAAGAGCAGACTGAATCTGGCTGTTGGCAGCCACCCTCTCAGGTCACCACTTCTGATTTTCTCCTGCCCAAAGTCTAGAGTGAGGGACACTTGTAAGTAGCTGCATAGAGTGCTGTGACCTGTTTGGAGCACAGCACGTTAAGAAAGTTGCTGCTAAATGACCATTTTAACATTGAGAAAAATGTAAAGAAAGATTAAAATATACCAGGTAGGTTCAGTCTAGGGATGAGAGAGTTGATAAGGACAGTCTTCAGATATGTAATAGACTGGCATAAAAAGAATGGTGATGAGTTATTCTCTGTATAATTGGCTTGGTCCTTTTAGGTTAATTCAGTATGTTTGGGGAATAACTAGAATAACAGTGAAATGCTACAGGAAGCAACTTAAGCTGTGGAATCTGCCATATGGGAGGCTTCTGAACAACAGCAGGACAAAAACCACTTAAGAAAGGTGCAGACATACTTGATGTGCTTCAGAAAAAGGGAGATTAAATGAATGGCTTTTACAGTTTCCTTACAATCATGCGATTGATTCTACTGTTAGCATGAATAACGCTTAAGCTTGCATGAAGTCACTGCATTTTTTAAAGCTAACCTTACAGGAATTATAAATAATTAAAACAAACCATGTAGATTTGCAGCTTAAATTCGGTAAAATAATTCAAGTAACTTGATCTTTACATGTTAACACTGCTATTCCATGTTGTCAACATCACTAAAACCAGCTCAACAAATGTAACTGCTATTTCCATACTTCTTCTGAAGACAAGTGACATTACTAATAAACTAACACCAAAATAATTTGCTTTATTGCTAGTGATTTTATATTACAATTTAGTCTAAGTTCTGTTTGCATATTAGTCTTTAAAGAGAAAACACATGCTAAAACCAACCAACCAACCAACCAAAACCAAACCCCTAAAATTACTAATGACAATGTATACTCATTTTCAAAAATCCTGGTATTTTATGACTGACTTCCTGAACACTGTAATTCCAAACCAGAGCATTTTATTTCCATTTGTCATCAAAATACCTACATGTTTTCAGATTAGAGTAAAACTTCACAGAGGAAAGAAAGGTTAAAAACTGTGCATATGACTTATTTTACAATTAGCATTCAGATGCTTATTGGGTTCTGGAGGCAATTTACTAGAGTCACAGATATAAAAATATAGAATCATCTTTATTAGTGAGGTATGCATTTGTTCAGATCAGGTTTCTTGGGATACAGCCTTCTATTTGAATTTCAGCTGGCCAGCCATCATATCTGTTCTTCTTCTTGTCAGAATGGTTTATCTGTTTTAACAAAAAAAAAAAAAAAAAAAAAAAAAAAAAAAATAAAAAAAAAATCAACAGTTCGTTCTTCATTTACAAACTATTTTGTCAAATCAAATCTCACACAACAGAAGGGGGTAATGGGGTAGGACTGGGAAGCTAAGGAGCATGTTGCACATCTTGCTCGATGTAACAGGTGAACATTACACCAGCTTCTCTCTTACACAGAGTGCTTTATTTATTTCCCAGATGGCTGTCATACATACACTAAATTGTATGAGCAGAAGCTCTGTAATGTGAAGAAAATTGCAACAATATTCTGGGAAAAAAATCTATGGAAATTTCACATGCCTTTGGAGGAGTCAGTATCATCAAGGGAACTGACCTTTGTATTGGGTTTTCTCATTTCTGCCTGCCTCTGTCATACAGATGAGCACTACTGGGCTTATGGAAACCAAATACAACAAGGTCACAGATGCAAACAGAAATCTGATATAAAAAATGGTATCTTTAGTCCTCCTGAAGCCTGAGGGCAAGTTATTCAGAAAAGTTTTGTGATGCAAGCATTGCTGTACTTCCACAGCCAATTTTACACAGCCCAATTTTCATATAGAAACAGTCTTTATTTTTAGGAAGTCCTTGGAATTTGTCCTTCCAGAAGAAAACATAAGTCTCTGTACAGCATGTCAGGTTGGACATTTCAAAACTGAGACTCTCTAGAATTGCTGGTCACTTCTGAAATTTATCTACAGATGATTTAGCGCTAGTGTGGTAGAAGTCAGTACTGTACATGTACATGCCCCAGATCCAAAGCAAAGAATGATGATACATTAGAGAACTTGCTTTGTGCGACTGAGGCTTACTGAACAGCCTACAGTTATTATAGCCACATACAAAATCTGCACCCGAAGGTTATATCTGATACACAGCCAAATATAAAGTGAAAAAAAAATGAACCTGACCTTTTCTTTTTGGATGTTATCTGGCAGCTTGAAGCCTTTGGCAGCTATAAAAGCCCAGCTTGATCTGAACTTTATATTCTGTATTTCTTTACTTCCCAGCTCTTCTACTAATTTTTTGGCGTCATTTTTTAACCTAGGAAAATGTAGTGAAAGAAAGTGTTAAAAGTTCAGGATGTGAAAAATGCTGAAAAAGAACACAGCTGATTCATGCTTTATTGTAGTAAGTCAGCAGAAGCAAAAATGAGAAGTTTAAAAAATCCTGAGAGCTGTCTTAGTAGCATGCCATTAAACTCACAGAGCAAAATTCTTTTTCTTCCTCCTCTCTACATTCCTGATGTTAATCCAACCTGTTTGTAACAGCACAGCAGAAAGAAAAATGTATCTCAAATACTATTTGATAGTTCAACCCTTCTTAAATAAGGACAAGGGCATCAAATGTTTATCAACTGCATGATTAAGTCTTTCCCTGTATAATTACCATATCATGAATGCAGCTAAAAAACCCCTAAGATTCGAAAGCACTTGAAGAATCAGGTTAAGATGTAAGAAGGAATGCAAACTAGATACATTATAACTGGAGGTGTGGATCCCTTCTTAATAGAAGGTTGTGACCCAGAGGTAACAGCAGTGCCCTTTATGAGGACGACCGGTGCTTTTAAACAAATACAACACTATCTATCCCTCTTTGGAAGCATCAACATACATGATATGGGCAAGCACTGAATGGACACGGAACCAAAACCTTTTAGGCAGGAAAAGAGAGAACAACCCTGACTATAGAGTGAAATTTACCATTCCTTTACACCATTATGCAATAGTGATTTTCAAGCTATTCTTTGCTCTGTTCCTCAGCCTGTCATGAATAACCTGCTTACCGGGTGCTTCCATCATCATGAGTCACCATCAAAAGGAGGGACCCTTCTGGTGCATTTCTAATGAAAGTCATCATCTCTCCTGAGTGGTCTGTTGAATCAATTACAAAACTGATTATGCATTACACACATATCACAGTCCACCTACTTTCAACTTCTTTTCACTTTTTGGTCTTGTCTATTCAAAATGAGACCTAATGAGGCAGTTTTTCTGTTTACAGGCAGCAGAAAGCTGCTAGCTCTCACTGAAGGCTCGGAGAGCATGGATTGATCTGCATTTCCCAGTAGTAAACAAAGATACTTCTGAACTTCTACAAAAGCCATTTACGCCCAGGATAAGTATATAGATGGTTTCTTAAGTTTACCTCACATAATATTATACATGCAAGCAAAGCATGGAATCGCCTAGAAGTCATTGCTATTCTGTGAGCTTCCATGCTAATACTACCATGGAATATTACCACGCTAACTGTGGAGCTGAGTTACACACCCCAGTGTCCACCCACTTTCATTAAGGAGCAGCCTATTTGCAGCACTAAGCTATTTATTGGTTTTGCAATTGCTAAACATACACAAGACACTTGTTTTCCATACAAAAAAATGTAACAGGCACCCTGAAGACATTATAGTCTACATACCATATATAAAATTGTAGCCTCATGATTAGTCCCAATTTGACTTCTGTTCATGCACATAAGGTCACAAACATTCCTAACTGGTCAGATAATCAGCTTCCAGTGCCTCATAGCATTCTGTTTCTCCTTACTAATAGGTAAGGAAACTGTTATCATTCAAAGTTTGGAAAACATGTTAAAAGCTATTCTTAAATAGCTTAAATATTCTTAAAATCATCTTTCTAGCTACATGGAAGGATGTTAAGAAACAGACTAACATATTTCCTATGATGATTTTACAACTAAAATAGAAGAAAATCTGCCAGGAAAAGGAATTTTGCTGAGTGAAGTATTTGGACGTGGTACCTGGTTAAGTGCTACTCCTACCAGACTGAAATAATGGACACACAAAAAAAAAAGACAATTAAAAAATTGCAATTTTAAGAATTAAAAAAAAAAGGGGGGGGGTGAAACAATTTAAAAAAAAGGCAATGAACTATCTCAACCGACAGGAGAAATTCAGCTTTTCAGGCAAAATTTGTCTTCAGATCTGCCCAGAGCATATTTTATGAAGACAACGGCTGTTTGCTTCTAGCTTATTCCCATTGATATTACAATCATAGTCATTTGAAAGAACAGGATAATTATACAAATAAAAGTCCTTTCTTAATGCTGAAACACTAACAAAAGCTCTATTGCACTCTTTTCCCTACCTCCTTCCCACATGTCAAAAAATTTTGCCGATGTAACTTTTCCTGTTTTATCTGTAATTAAAAAAAAAAGTTGTGTAAATATGAGCAAAAATTATTAAATGCAATCAGCTTATACAGTGTTTTCAGCTAAAGCTAGGCATCTCTGATTTTGTGTATTATTGGGCTTCTGAGTTTTCTTTTGTTTAAGTTTTTAAATTGGAAGGAATATGGAGTAACATAAGTTTAAGATTTGGGGAGAATATTTTGTTTCATGTAGTCTCTGAATCATCAAATGTGACTAAACCATTTTTATTGCTTTTTATTTTAAGGAAGGAGTTCAGTTTACTGTGTGCTTCCATGGTTTTAGATCTATAAATACTATACTAGGTCACAACCATAAACAGGAAAATTGGTTAAGCCTAAGACTATCTGAATGAGCTTAATACTATTCTTTGCAGTTTCAGGTGTGCAAGTTTTCATACCATTTGAATCTCAATGGAGAGAAACTCAACACTCATCATTACCATATCAGAAATTGGGCATGCAAACAATTAGTCATTCCAAAACATTTTGGTCAATATTAATAATTAATTATGCTGCTTTAGATGGCTATCTTTGTTTAAACAAGACATGTACAATTGGAAATACTTTCCAAATTTCTAAATCCACGCCAACTGAGTTAATTGATTTTCATTATCCAAAACCCATATCCCTGCTACATGAGAGGGTCTTTTCCATTTAGTGTGTCAGCTCATTTCTAGTGAGAAGAACCAGCAGTTCCTGATTCATTTCTGGCTTATATATCCATATATGGTAAAATCATGAAGGCAAATTCTTCTGAACACTGGATTTTAAATGGCAGGTTTATCACACTGATGAGGGTAAAAGGTGGCAAAAATCTGTCAGTGGTAAAACAGCATACTGGAGCTGGGCTTCTGAGCAGAGGTCGCAAAAAAATGGAAAAGGCTGTAGTGAGGACTGCAGAAATCCACAAAATTCTTTTTCTCTCCCTCTGTGTTGTTAGCTTAGGCTTAATAGTTCTGTCTTCCTTCTCACAAAAGACCATATTCATTCAGAGAAGAAAGTTATTATGGAATAAAATACAAGTTTGATACCATAGGAAACTTACTGAGCACAGTCATCAGCCTGACTGATCTAATTAGAAGACATGTAGAAAATATATCTCACTACAAATTCGTTCAAGATAAAGGGCAGATTTACCTGCAGATGGAGATGAAAGTGTAGCTAAAACAACTATGTATGATGAAGGAAATGGCTGTTTAAAAATGTGTAAAAGTTGATATATCACTTCTTTTTCCTCACTAATGTCAGATGCAAAGACAATGCTAGTTCCCTACTCGTATTTGCTATAGCCTTGCTTATGCACTCAGGATGACTATTTGCCCTCTTACTCTACAGCTTTATGCTGAAAACTCATTTTTAACTGTTTACCTATTATAACCAGTAAAGTTTTTATGACTCCTTATCAGAAAAAAAAGCGCAGTAGTTAACTGGGGAAAAAAAAATGGAACAGGTTCTTGTCAATGGTAATTTAAGCCTGTGACTTCAATAAAATCATGCAAGTTTAGACAACGTCAAGATCTTGCTTAGCAATACTGAGACAGAAAAACTGGAACATGTTTTGTGATCAAAGTCAACTTGACTGTGCATCTGAACTCCCTTTCTTTCCCTCCTCCAACACATTTAGGCATTCATTTCTCTCATGATCCATTATTGAATACACTGCACTTCATCACCATTCCCATTCATCTAAATTAAAACGGTGCCTCCAGATCTGGAATAAACTGCACCTTCTGCTTTCCAATAGCTCCTACTATAAGCAAAGACATATAACGGCAGCTTAATATTAATCAAGCTTTGAGTTTGTCTTTCTGTCCACTGACCCCAAGTCTGCAAATGGAATTAGTACTTTGGTTGTACCTCGGGGCAGCACTGCAATTCTCAGTTACCGCTTGCCCCTTATCAGTGGAGCAGTAGGTATCTTCTGTCAAGGACTGAATCTGAAAGTTGAGTCTTACTGCTGGAGGTCGTGGATATTTTTGCTATGTTACATAAGAAGCAGTTCATTTATCTAATAAAATACACATATATGGCTTCTATGTACACATTTTCTATTTTCTTATACTGATTATGAACACGTTTCTTTTGTTTATCCAGAAGACTATTTCACTCAAACACAGATTTGTTTTTCTTCCATTTAACATGAATCAAGTTTGCAATTTTTTCCTTTCCCTTTCCTTCCATATTAGCTAGTAAAAAAACCCAAACCCAAAACAAACAAAAAAAACCCCAATACCCCCAAAACCTTTGTAAATTATTGCAGTACAAAAGTATGTCTCTCTAACAATTTTTCTCTTACTTACAATTCACAATAGCAATGTTTATACCTCTTCCAACACTACCCTTCTCTTCACTTATAAGCCTGGAATCAAAATAAATACAGTATCAGCAGAATGCATTCATCCAGAAGCTCTGATCCAAAGTTATATTTACCAATGTTAAGTCACTTTCTGATGTTCATATTTTCTTCAGTTACTTAATTCAAGATTTTGTAGTAAACAAGAGCTATGCTTAAAAATCTTGCAGAATTTATCAGTTTCCTTCAATGATACACAATGAGTCTTTCAACATGAGCAAGATCAAGAAAGTACTTCATACAAGGGCTGCCAGAAAGATAAACCTCAACATAAAATGCAGTTTTGTGGCTGTATTCTGTGTGGACTATATCTACACAAAAGATCATTGCAAGGTTTTGAAGTCACTCTACCTGTCCAGTTTGAAAAGCCATGAAAGAACCTGACTTTCAGAAGGTGCTGACCATTCAACATACTGTAAACTAGCTATCCTGCACCATGAAAATTAAAAATCATACTTGAAACTAACAGTTGAATGCAGCTTATGTATAGAAGCAAAGAAAATAAACCGAGATTAGGTATTTAAAAAAACAAAGGAGGGGCAGGAGAGAGTTAAATATTGTCAGATATATTGCGAAGTTTATCACCAGAATAGAAGCCCCCTGCTAGGAGCTTACTTGCTGCTACTGAACCAAAACAGTGAAACACCCTTCTTCACACTACAAAGCACTTGCTTAGATTTGAAGTTAGACTGGTACTTACAGCTCATCCTCAAAACAAATTTTAGCCATCTTTACTTTGCCACCACCACTAAGAATCCGATAGGCATAATTCCCAGGTGAGCAGGGAGACCAGTGATCACACTTCTGCCTTTTTGGGACTGGGGCTACAACAACAAAGAAGAGAAAATGTTTTCTTGGCTGCTGCATAAACAATTTCTACATGGAAAGCATCACTAAATGTCAACATGTTAAGCTCAAACATATACGCACAGAAGCCAATCCTGCCAGTTTTCCAGTATCATGGCAACATTATCACAGATTTGCCTGGGCTTTAAGTTATCATTGACTTTCAAACAGCTGCTGGGATCGAGAGCAAGCCTATCTAGGGAAAATGCCCCATATACTATGATCTGATTTGAAACTACAGTAATTATTTTGTGCTATTTCATATAACAGGAAACAAGGGCTAGAGGGATGAAGGATTCGTACCAATAGGTTGAAGTTAATGGCTATCATTCTCATTTTAAGCCTTTTTCACATGATAATATAGGCATAGAATGACAGAAATGTATACGTTAAGCCCCCCAGTCAGATTAGAGGAAAGAAATAATGAGAATTTAATCACAAAGTTTGGTTAGTGATTCAACAGTTTACCATAACTGTAAAATACGTGTGATAGAACCAAAGCTGCAGCTTTGTGCTTACATGCGACCAAACAAGGTTTTCTTACATTACTATTCAATTAATTATATTTGCATATTGGCAAATATAGGCTGACATTGTGTTTCTTCAAAGATAGCGTCTAAGAAATAGTTCAGACTTGCACTAATTAACTTCACACAGCCAGCTTCATTCTTACAATAGCACACACCAAATCATTTATCAGCTAACAAGCCATTTGTCATTTAGCATGTAAATATACAACTTTAAATATAGTATAAGAAAAAAAATGCAACTACACACCCCTCAACATTGGTTTCTTTCCAATGTCTTGAAGATTAGCAATAGATCTTGTTATTGCCTCTTTGGGTACAAGAGCAGCGACTAAGTATCCCAAGTACCAAGCAGCCAACCACATCAACAGGAGCCCTGAAAATTTCACAAGATCTGCCAAAGGAAAAAAAAAAAAAGAAGAAAGAAAACCACAGAGACATAAAGATGTTTTCATAGCAACAGACAAAATATTGTATTTTCTCTGGCACTGCTACACAAACTGGCTATTTTATTTCTTATGTACTGTCTTAAACACAGCCTTCAGAGACGTGCCAATAGAGCATTTGTTGCATTCCCATCTCTGACAACCCCTTGCGTTTCTAAAACTTGATCTTCAGGCAGAAAACTCCCCACAAGACTCCCCTCAATCCACACACATAATACTCAAAGAAACATGAAGTTCAACTTAATCCTAGTAGGATTTTGACTCTGAAATGTAAGTACCAGGTACTACACATGACTATACAGGTGGTATGCAGTTACCATTGATTTTCTGCGATAGGCAGACGCTACAGGAATGGTTTAAAACACTGACCATACAGAGACCTCCCTCCATCCACCCTTTTGACATGCTGGGTAAAAATAACTGAAGAAGGCCCAAATAATCTCACACAATGAGCTCTGACTGCATTCAAACATGACTAGAGTGACTGTTTCACCTCCTCTCAGTTGTATCACAGTTTCCATGGACTGTATTAGCAGTGCATCTACACACTACAAAAACAACAGGATTCACAATTTTCCTGACTATGAAGAAATAGTAATAAATCGCATATTGGATATCTCCTCTTCCTCATCATCAGAAAGGCTAACATGCACTCCTGATCTAGAAGAAATGTGCCACCTAATTCATGATGTTGAACAAGGAAATATCACACTGCAATAGTGAAACACTGATGTTTTGATGTCAGAAGATACTTCCTGATCTGTAAAGAAACATGTCCTTGAACATAATCATCCTTTAAAGTGAAAAAGGAAAATTTTTAGTTTCATAGTCCTGAAAATCAAGTTCAACAGAACCAATGTCCAAAAACATCCAGTATGTTCACTTTGCCAACCTGCTAGAAAATATTGCCTATTACCTAGTCTAAATCTTCCTTATAACTGTTTACACTCAAGAAGACATTTGTTTGCTTCCTGGAACTGCCTTTTATAAATATTAAGATTTCTGCCCTACCCCTTCTCTAGAATAAGGCCAAATTGTTCACTTGTTCTCCTCAAGTCCTGTTTTGCAGGTCCTACTGCCCTCCCATGAATTCTGCCCAATTGCTCTGCATCTTTTACTGCAGAACGGACACACCAGTCCAACACACCCATTTGGGAGGCTCTACTGGTTATTCATACCAAAATGAAGTTTGACTTTTTTTCAAAAGAGTAGACTTTATTGACTCAGGTTCCGTTTATAATCCACCATAAAGACCAGATCTTTTTCCTGCAAAGATTTTACCTCCCTAGCTACTCGCTATCCTGTATTTGTGCACGTGGTTATTCCTGCATTCTACCTAGCTTTAAAAATAAAAAGCCTAACAAAACACGACAGAAAAAGCAGACTGGTAAAGCTAACACTGAACAGTACCGTCACCTAAACTCCCCATTCTTTATAATAGCAACAGAAGTAGCAAGAGGCCCTCTCTGACCCAGTCATCCTTCACAAATGAAGCACAGCCGTACTCCCGTCCTTGAACCTCAGTGAGGAAGAATGCAGATCTTTATGAACACTGAAGGTTCTTCTGTAAATAAACCCAGTTTCTCATTTCCTGCATCAGAAAAAAAGGGGGGGGGGGAAGAGAGGACAGTAAACCCTTTTAAGATACTGATCTGAGCTCTTAAAATGTTCAGTGTTATTGTATTTAGGAATCATAAGTGTGTGCACTTGTGTGACTAAGGAAGATACTGTGAGAAACTTACCATATTTTCATCAAAGGATTAAAACAGTAATATAATGAATCTTCAGAGATATAACAAATTTCCTAATTATTGCCTCAGTCTAGGAGAAAACTGTCTCACTCTACCACTAGTAGTGGTGCAAATCTGCACTAAAATAATACTAAAAAGTACTCCAACATTTCATTCATACAGTGAATGTGAAGAGACAAAGTTCATGTCCACAAAGAAGGAAGCTGCAGAAACCAAGCAGAATGAAACTTACTCACTTTTTCTCTTTTTGAATATTAAAAAAAAAATCAGATTTATAGACAAAATTTATTTAATTTGTAAAGGAGACCAAGTCACAAGTTTCAAAGACAAAACCCAGAAGGAATTAAGTGAAAACTTATTTAAAGATTCCAGTGATTTTTTTTTCTCGGGGGTGTGGGGTGCCTTGTAAAGATCTATGAGACTGTCAGTCAGGTTTTGTTTTGCTTTTTCTGTTGTTGGCTTAGCAGGTTTATCTTTACAGTGATTTTGCACTGTTTTTCGTCAAAACTATGGAGCAACTCTGTTGCAAAACAGGTTCAACAGCACAGCATTTTACCTAAGTAGAAGAGAAAGTACAGAATGTCTAACTTCTGTTATTATATTCTGTATTTTATTTAAACCACAAGCTCCTTAAACATTTCTAAAATACGCATTTTAAGGTTTAAGGAATACATTTACAAACTCTCCTGCACAGTTTGTACTTAGTTCTCAAAACTGTCACAAAATACTTTCACTGTCAAGCAACTTCTGGTTTTGCTTTCTTGGATTCTGCCAAGGCTGCATTGATGCTATCTGCTGGGTCCACCTGGATCTCTTAGATTTACTGAGGTTACACATCCTGCACACGTAGACTCTTATTTTGAGTACTGCATAGACATGCATAAAACCTGCACAATAGCAGCTAAGCCATAAGCTCAGACAAACTTAGGATAGTTAAGAAAGCTTGAGATTTGCTATCCACAGCAGTTAGGAGTTATAAAACGCAAGGTCCGGTCTACATTCACGAAAGCCAGACCTCGCTTCTGCTGATTTTAGAGGTTGTGCGGCTCCTCGGCTCCGCGCCGAGGAGCGGCAAGGGGACATCGTGCTGCCGAGGCGCTTGCTGTGCTCAGACAGGTGGCACGAACCTCCCTCGCTCTGTTTCTGCCACGGAGAGGTACTGGGGCAGAGATCCTCGGCAATACTCAGGGAGCCAAACAGGTAAGAGGGCAGAGAGGAGCAGGGACGAAGAACTGCGCGGACGGTCTGGATGGCGGTGTGGCAGGCAGGGCGCGACAGACAGCAAGGCAGAAGGAAAAGACGACGATTAGCAGTCCCACCCCACAGCAGCTCCCAATTTCCTTTCTGCCTCGGGTGCTCACTTGCCCCTTGCCGGCAACTAAAGCACTAAACGTAAGCACTATATATATATATTTTTTTTTTTTGTGCTTAGCCGACTTAAAACCCCCATGCTGCCACACCTCGCCAATACACACCTACCCGTACGCAGCAGGACTTTAACGGGGGACACACACACACACCAAACCCATTTACGACTCGACCTTACATTATTCCAAACTAAAAAAGCTGGGCGTCGACCCGTTTTCAGGTGTTGGCCAGGGGCCCAGCGGCGAGGCCCGGCACAGGCCCCTCCGCCCCGGACCGGGGGCTCGGCCCCCGCTCGCCTCCGCGGACGCCGTCGGGACCAGCCCTGCCGCCTCTTCCCCGCGGCGAGAGGGGCCTCGGATCGCCCCCGGGCCGGCCGGGGAGCGGCTCCGGGCCACCCGCCTGAGGAGGGCGCAAGGCGGGAGCCAGGCCCCGGCTAGCCTCGCCGGGGGCCCCCGCGCCCTCCGCGCCGTCCTCCTCACCCGGCGGGACGGGCCCCGGCCGCCGCGGGAGCGCTACTCACGTTGCCGATTCAGCCACATTGTTCAGGACGGGGGCGAGCTGCCCGCCCTTCCTCCTCCTCCTCCTCCTCCTCCTCGTCCCTCTCCCCCACCGCGTCCTGCAGCCACCGGGACGGCGCGGGAAGGGGAACAGCCACCTGCCCGCGCCTCACCGCCCCGGCGCGGCACGGCGCGGCACGGCAGCCCCGCACCCCGCTGTCCTGGGCGGGCGATTTCCTCTGACGGGAAGGGCCGCCGGGGGAGGCAGCGGCGGCTGCTCCCCCCCCGGGGGGCGAGGCTCTGCCGCCGCCATTGCGCGGGGAGCCGCGGGGCACCTCAGGGGAGCGGCGCTGGGGTCGGGGGACGGCCGGGGAGGCACGACGGCCCCCTTCGACTTCCCGGCCGCTTTGCCGTTTGCTGGTGTCGGGGGGAAACTGGGCAGCAGCCCGGCCTGCCGTTATCTCCTTGGCAAAGGCGGTTGAGGGAAGGGCCTGGCGCTTGTAACGGCCGCGGGGGCGCTGGAGGAGGAGAGGGCATGCGGGGTGAGGGGAGGGAAGGGAGGGTTCATCCGCCAAACTGAGCCCCCAAGGCGGTACAGCAGCAGACGCCACCCAAAAACTCAAACGTAAGGGGTCGTGCTAACAGTTGTTTTCCCCAGAAAGAAACCAACTGGCCGGCAGGATCAAAAGGAAGGCTCTCGTGCCATCCGGCAGCCCCTTCGAAAAGCTGTTTTCCCCCAGATCTCAAAATGAACCAGTTATTTTTAAGTCTGCTGAACCCAACCCAGAAAGCAAGCAAGCAAGCAAGGGCTTTTTGCTGGCGATGGCCAGGGTCTGCCCGCTGTTTTAGCTTTTGAGGCCACGGGCCAGGTCCCCGCTGGAGCCCCCTCATCCTTCTTCCACCCGCCGCCACAGCACCGGGGTGACACGAGTCCTGCCACGGACACTGGCCCAGCAGGCCGAGCCCTTGCTTCATCTTTTCTTGCGGTGGCCCCCGCCAGTGCCGCAAGCAAAGCGTCGTGCACCCTCGTCTGGATGTTTCCTTCCCCGTGGTGGGCTATCTTGGTCAGTCCTCGGTTCCCATCACCCCACCAGAAAACCGCTTCTCTCCCGCTCCCCAGCCTCCCAGGCCAGATGTAAGGAGCGTGAAACTACATGCTGCTGGCAGCGCGTGTTTTCTAGTCTGCGGCCGGTAATGTGAGATAAAGGCATTGCCCGTCAGGACCCCACACATCATGGGCTTGCTTTTCTGGTTTTAAAACTTCCAGTTTCCAGCCTGCTATGGTTGATAGGTGTTTGCAGGCCCGCGTGGGCACTGAGCCCTGCCAGCACCAGTCAGCCCTGACCCTGACCCAAGGAAATTACAGCTCACATCAAGGACAACTTCTAAGGACTGAAGTAGGCATTCAAACAAGTTTAGGAAACTGAGCTGAACACCCCCAAGTTGGGCAAAACTCAAACAAGGAAGCTAGTGATTTCATATTGAAAATTGCTCAAACTGCACTGGGAATCAGCGTTTGCCCTTAAAACTCTCTGATTTAGTTTCCCTTAAGCTTCTTCGCTCCCTCTGCCTCTAAGGATGCACAGAAATTATGTTTAGTTCAGCAAACATGAATAAAATCCTGCAGGAGGGCACATACAGGACCACAGCCAGACCGGGGCTTTTGCCTTCTTCCCAGGACACCCATGAAAGCCATAAATGTTTCCAGTCCCTGGAGAAGAGGCATTTCTTGTCCTCACCTGCGAGTGGGATATTATAGTATCCTATAAATTGGAGGTAAAACCTGAGGGAATATTGCTGCTCATTATTTTCACATGTACTGGAGCTTGCAAATGAAAAGCAACATCCAATAAAACCTAGGTGTGCAAATAATTAAAGCAGTAGCACAGGACAAATAAGAAATGAAAAGCATAGGACAGAAAGGAGAAGGAGTTATGAATGGGCAAGAGAATGTTAAGGACAACACTGGTCTGGGTTACTTTTTCAAATATGCAATTATTTCTGCAGGAACTGTTATCCTGCAAGATGGCACATCAGAAAATGATGTCTCTTCTAATAAATGATTGAAACTATTGAAGAGTGCATATCTAGCCTTTAAAGTAAAAATAATGTGTCTTTAAACCTCAAATGCTACAGTTCATGGTAGCCAAATGAAAAATTCTGCTACTTTTATTAAAGCAAGGAAAATTAACTAGCACTCAGGATAATTTAATTTTGAAATAAATTTATTGTATGGGCATTGGTGGGTCACAGACTCCATGAATAAAAATTTTAAGCCCCTAGGAGCTTTGTCACCACCTCAACACCTTACTGTGAAAAAACTCCATCATTAGCAATCACTGTCCATTGGATAACTGCCAGTTTGCCTGCTTTTACCCACAAGGAAAATGTAGCAGGTTACTTCATTTTCATTACTGCTTAAACTACATTGAACTACACCCAGGCATTTGCTACAAAACCAGGCAACACTGTAATTGGTTTGCTTGCCTGCCAAAGCCCAGGGATCCAGTGGTCTCTAGCTGAGGGGATTTTAAATACCAACGGACTAGGAAACTTTAAAATGTTTTACTTCAGGTGTCTCAGTTTTGTGTCTGCAAAAAACCCACCATACTGTTCTGTCTTTAGTAATTAATCAAAGATGGGGGGATGCAGAACACTTTTGAAGTATCATTTCAGTTCTTATTCTGTAACCATTCATTCTGTAATTTGAAAGCTTAGAGAAAAACTTTCAAAACAATCTTCACTCTTGATGCTTGTGGGGCTGTAAGACCCTTTGGTGATAAGCAGCATAGGAAATCTACTCAGGAAACAAATGACTCTTGCAGGCACTAAATGGAACAGGTGAATGTATGTACACAATGCTTATGTGTTTTTCTTGTCTTATGATCACAAAAGCCACAGTCCCTAGGGAAAGTTTATGGGCATTTGCTAACACTGTAAAATTACGCCAGAGAAAGTTTCTGCTTGCCCTTTGAGCTGCTGTACCTTCAGAGGTATTTTCTGCATCTGTCCCACTTGGCTAACAAATTAGCAAAAGTGTCATTCCAGTCCTCATAGCTATTTAATTTACATGTTTTCTGCTCATCCACAAATGGCCAACAATGTATTTTTAATCCTGCTAGGATCAATTAAAAGAATTTAATGACTTAAAATGGATGCAGAGTTTGTAAGGCAGAGAAAGAATATTGTACCAAATCTTTGCTTGTAGAGGTCACAAGGACTTCAAGGGCTACTAGAAAAAGTAGACCACCTACCTAAAATATGCAACTGATGTTTAAGTTAACTAATTTTACCTAAGACTTGGGACAGATAAGAACATACACATAGACAATAGGGGTGGCAATGTGGAAGAGCAGTTCTTCAAGCTGCCATAACTCAGCCATGGTTCACCGTGTGCTTGTGCCTATAATTCAGGTGGAACCTCAGCATCCTGAATTGTGGTAGCATGAAAAGTAATGTGGAGAAATAGGGATTTAAATGTATATTTTAATAAAATTACTTTTTTTTTCTAGTATATTGTATTGGCTTTGTGTGGCAAGGTTTTGGTAGCGGGGGGGGGGGCTGTTTACAGGGGTGGCTTCTGTGAGAAGCTGCTGGAAGCTTCCCCTGTGTCCGACAGAGCCAGTGCCAGCCGGCTCCAAGACGGACCTGTCGCCGGCCAAGGCCGAGCCCATCAGTGATAGTGGTAATGCCTCTGGAATAACATATTTAAGAAGGAAAAAAAAGTTGCTGGGACAGACAGAAACGGCAGCCGGAGAGAGGAGTGAGAACATGTAAAAGAAACAGCCCTGCAGACCCCCAGGTCAGTGCAGAAGGAGGGGGAGGAGGTGCTCCAGGCGCCGGAGCAGAGATTCCCCTGCAGCCCGTGGGGAAGACCATGGTGAGGCAGGCTGTCCCCCTGCAGCCCAGGGAGGTCCACGGTGGAGCAGGTGGGTTCCCGAAGGAGGCTGTGACCCTGTGGGAAGCCCGCGCTGGAGCAGGCTCCTGGCAGGACTTGCGGATCTGTGGAGAGAGGAGCCCACGGAGCAGGTTTTCTGGCAGGACTTGTGACTCTGTGGGGGACCCATGCTGGAGCAGAGTGCTCCTGAAGGACTGCAGCCCATGGAAGGGACCCATGCTAGAGCAGTTCGTCAAGAACTGCAGCCTATGGGAAGGACCCACATTGGAGAAGATCATGGAGGACTGTCTCCCGTGGGAGGGACCCCACACTGGAGCAGGGGAAGAGTGTGATGAGACCTCCCCCTGAGGAGGATGAAGCGGCAGAAAATAATGTGTGATGAACTGACCGTAACCCCCACTCCCCGTCCCCCTGTGCCGCTGGGGGGATAAGTGGAGAATCCAGGAGTGAAGTTGTGCTTGGGAAGAAGGGAGGGGTGGAGGTAAGGTGTTCTGAGATTTGGTCACCCATGAGCCCTTTGTTATATTTTCTCTCCCCTGTCCAGCTGAGGTGGGGGGGAGTGATAGAACAGCTTTGGTGGGCACCTGGTGTCCAGCCAGGGTCAACCCACCACATATACCTTGAATGTCTTTGTGAAACCCAGGAGCAAATACTTAGAACAAGATGACAGCTTTTAGATACTTCTTTTGTGGATATATTGAAATCTTAACACTTTCCCCCCAGATATGCAAAAATGGATCGTATAACAAAAAGCAAAAAGCAAGCACTGATTACTTTCAGATGATAACCTAGAAAACCTGTAAAGCTAGTGAGTCTAGCTCCCAGGATGTTGCTGGCCTGTTAAACAAGGCAAAGGTGGGGCATATTTGTTTGTTTTTCTCATGCTTTGTTAATCCAGAGATACACAAGGAAAAGACATTCAATTGCACTTCATCCAGACAGATGTCAACCGGCAAATTTTCCTCAGTATTAGCAGCAACAGCTTAATACATTATCGGCCCAAATCTCGTCATCTTTAATACATAGCGGCCCAAACTTTTCAGAAGAGGAAGGCAAGGGTATAGAGAAGTGCAAAATGAGAGGGAGAGGAAAATCCTTCTATTTAATGCTGCATACTTGGATATAGCTTTGCACAATCCTACAGGATCTCTGTTGTCTGTTTTCTTGAAATGCTGCTGTCAGCATGGTCATT